GAGAGAGAGAGAGAGAGAGAGAGAGAGAGAGAGAGAGAGAGAGAGAGAGAGAGAGAGAGACAGAGAGAGAGAGTTCCTATCTGCGAACGGGATCCGCTGCTATTCCAGATCTGCTGGGCCCCCTGGGTGGAGGCACTTGAAGTGGAACGGGATCTGTCTGTTAGACCTAATATACCAGACCAGTAGTACGGCAACGAGGCCCACCATAATGGCACTGCCGAGAACTCCAACGGTGACGCCCACGATAAGTTTTATCGGGCGATGAGGTTTGGAAGGAGGATTCGGCAAGGAAAGATTCGAGGAGGAAGGACTTGGCCAAGATGGAATTGTGGAAGAAGGATTTGGGGAAGACGGAATTGTGAATGAAGGATCCCCAGACAAAGAAGGATGCAAGGGAGAAGGAGTTGACGCATAAGGATACGAGGAAGAAGAAACTGAGGAAAAATGATCCGGGAAAGAAGGATTTGAGAAAGAAGAATACGACGAAGAAGGAACCGGGGAAGAAGGATTCGGGGAGGAAGAGGACATCGAAAAAGAACCGCTAGGAAAGGAAGGAGAAGAAGAGGAGAGAGGTACCTCGCTGCTCTCAACAGAACGCGGAGAGGGTACCGCATAGGAAGACCCGTAGTGGTGGAATCCGGGGGGGTTCGATGGGTCGAAGGCGCTGCATTTGTGCAGCGCGCTGCGGTTGACTTCGAATTCATAAATGTGGCCGTTGGGTGTGCTGAGGTATAAGTTTGTGTCCATCCTACTAAGTAACAGACGAGACGATTCTTTCATCGCAGGCGACATCAGATCAGGCGAAGACGCCGAAGAACTGTCTTCGATTCTCGCCACGGTTTTGTTGAACCTCACCCTCCCATTTGGAGCATCAAAGGAGAGCAGTCTGATGATTATACTATCATCAGACGCCACCCTTCCGGCGACGAAGAGGTTGCAGTCATCTGATGTCAATGCTGTGGATAACGGGAAATGAGGAACATCGTAGGACGTGTTGAATGCAGTGAGGACGAGGTTGGTAGTAGCGCCAGTGTCCGTTGCCACACGCCTCACGGATAGGTTGTCCGTAACGGCCACGTACATGAAAGCGCCGTTGGATGAGATGGATCGTGGACTGATTCGCGGATGGTTGAATCGAACCTGCGACCCAATCGAGGAGGAAGCAAAGCCGGTTTCCATCCCACCGGCAAGAAGCAAGCTTTCTTCAGAATACCGAAGGGGTCCTTCGATGAGAGGGATCATGAGAAGACGGGAAGGCGACACGGCCGCAAATATGGTTGGTGTGATTGGGTGAATGGCCATCCCGTAGGCCGGAGAAGTTACATCCGGAATGAAATACGTCATCATTTCAAGGCCGGAGTCCACTTTCCAAATACCGCCACCATCGCTGACGCTCGCAAGAATCCATCTGCTGTCCGCTGAAGTCTCAAGTGCAGCGTACGACCGACCATCGTCTCCCAGGGATGTGAGATTAGTCAAGAGCGGGGAAGAGGATGACATGGGATGAGCTTTTATTATAAAACTCCTGTTTTGCTCTAGTTGCTGCGAGAAGAATAACGTGCTGTCGTCGGGCGACAGAAGGAGAGCCGGTATGTAACACCCTGCGCAAGGAAAGTTATCCAGCACATCCCTTTGCAGAGTGAGGAGCGAGCTGTCCAGATACGTCGCCGTAATAATGAGCAATTCTCTCCTGTGGTCAGGGTCGTTTGCCATCGCCGACGGAAGCGGAGAACCGTCCATGTCAACTGAAGGCTCCATCTGTAAGGACCGCCAGAGCCGGCGGGACCTCGACACTTGCTCGTGTCCTATGCTGGCATGCATTGCAATCACCGTAGCCATGGTGAATAAGACGAGATAGGCAAGCACTGTCGTACCCTGCACAAGGGATAATGTACGACATGAAGACCAGGAACACGTAAGGACGGCCATTTCTTTTTCGGATTTTTAACGGTCGGTCAGATTCGGCCGTCAAGTGAAGATTATGAACGGGAACCTAACGCCTAACGACTTTGAGCCTCTTAAATATCTGTAGACACATACACGTAACGGCTACGGAAACCCCTCTGGCTACCTAGTTATGTTATCCTTCGGTTCTATAGGCCTATATAACGAATCTGTCAAAAAAAAAAAATCTATAGCATGTCTTGCTTGACACAAGAAGATTTTTGCTAAGCCCGGACCAGTGAGACCACTTCCCCTTTCCAAGCCTTTCCTCGCTTTTCCGCCCCACCCTCCTCCACATGCCACTACGGTCCAGGGTTGCCACCAACGCCAGGCACACAACTACCAGTCCTCACTTCTCTCCCAACAAACCTTTAGGAAATCTAGTGTGTGTGTGAGAGTGAAACACATCAAAGGGCACACACACGCATCACCCATCAGAGGCCACACACACACGCATCACGCATCACAGGCGCTGAGGGCACACACACGCATCACGCACACACCTGCAAGGCATCATAGGGAATTCATAGTTCCGCACAAGTCCCCGACAGGCTGGATCAATGTGCTGTCCGTCCTTCACATGCCGACCTTGGAAGTGTCACAAACAACATGCTCTTTCAAAGGAGCTTGTGGGAACCAACCGGGAATGCAGCACGATTACGGGGAAGAACAGAAACCGATCATCTGGCTTCTGGAGTGGGTACCACACGATGACGCCCGTGCATGATTGACAGTTGATTGCATGCGGGGAAGAACGGTCTTGCAGAGCGCGTGACCTATGGACAGTGGTAAGCCCTGCGCATGATAGAAAAGGACCGATCATCAGTTATCTGTAGGCATAACAATGTATTAATGCTTCTGTCTTGACGAACCATTCCGCAACTACCAATACACACACACTCAGATCAAATGCATCCCAGAAGAGTGTCACGGTTCAACCGACTGCTGAGACGATCACAGTACGATCACAGTACGATCACACAGGGGATAATTGGTGGAAAGCGCCCCCGCGAAAGCTTCTGCCGTCGGCGCTTTCCCCCATTTATCGGAATTTTATCCCATGACGTCGTCTGTCACAATTACCCGGCTTTTCTCGAGTTGCAGTTGCACAAAGTGGCCTGCGTGAGGTCTGAAAGGAAGATATCAATCCAGTCACTGGAACCAGATTGAAAGGAGAAGGACAAAGGGGGAGAATAGACAAAAACGATGATAAAATCTCAGAGTTCAAGTACATTCCAATTTATCTAACGCGTGCACAACGACCAGCACTCTATGAACGTGAAAAACAATAGGCGTAGACCGGACACGTGTTTCAGGGACGACACGCCAAAAGACCCCCGCGCACAGACACACACACACACAGACTCTGTGAGTGTGTGTGCGTTTTTTTTTTTTTTTTTTTTTTTT